AATCATGACAACTACTATGGCAGACGACTTCGGACTAGGTGCGTTCTACAGTCTCCCTGACCGCAAGACCAAGTTGCGACGAGGTCAACCCACTCCTATAAATATTCAGTCTGAAAATTTATTCTTCTGTTAAGATATATTATTAATAATTATGCCCAAAGGATAATTATTTTCCTGGACGAAATCTTTCAGCCGTCCCAACTCTTCAGTCAAATAGTGTCTATCTGCTAATCTAATAGTCATACTAGTCATGAAGTTGAAAATGCCTAACTTAGTTCTATAACTATGGTAGTACCAGGTTCCGCTCCCTCTGACACTGCAATCACTATCATTTCGAGTATCAGAACAATGTATTGGTACGTCTATAGACATTTTACCAACATCGTCAGTGAGATGAGCTAAAACTCGTCAAAGCAGCAAGTTAAAACAATTCTTTTGGCAAATTTCTGCTCAATAGTTGCGACCTTTTTTTCTGTCCTAGTTATTAGTCCTGTATCCCCTCCTTCAATTCAAGTTCGTATAGCCATTTGATCTTCGTTGGTTGTAATGTCACCCAAAAGTGTGCCACTTCAAGATGAAGCGTAATTAACTTCACCAATGGTTTCAGATGACGTTCACAGGGCTTCTGGATCGTAATAAGCAATTCCAATTAGCCATATACTTCTCCCAATTTGCCAGCTGCTCCCTGCTGCACTTAAAACTCATTGTCTCATCCAACTGGTCATATATAATTCCACCCTCCCGGCCACTATTTTCGAAGTTTTCGAGGTTTTATTTGGATGAATGACCCTGAAAATATGATAGAACGTGATAGCCTTAGTGAAGGTAGCTCTCAAATCGTGATTCTCACCTCTGAATGAGCCACAGCCTCTGGTACGAATCATGAAGATATCAACCCCTGCGCAGCTGTCACCCTGCTTTTATAACATATATTACATCTTACCGGTTAGTCATTACGTTCGTTAAAATTCGTCAATGACAAATGCAGGAGATCCCCTTGACAAATTTTCTGCTTAATCGTTGTGATACATCTCTTCCATGGTATCCCTGCTCTAAGCTCTGTATCATTGGCCATCCGTTGAAGAGAAATACCCGAGTTACTTTGTTTAATTCTATTTCCAGAATTATATATTTACTAATCCTAGGCATCTTGTGATCATATTCGTTAAGATTCTTATATCCCTTATTCGTTAGTGGTGAGATTTTAAACTGATTGTCCTGTGGGATTTCTTTCGGAATGAGTCTCTTAGGATCTCGTAGGGTTCCTTGCTAGACCAATCACCTGAACATCCAAGATAGGGAGTATAACATTTTCCTTCATCTTCAGTGTTAATTTCACTTTTGTTTTATAGGTATATTTTTGAGACTACCAAATAGAATATTATATTTATTCACACTATTTGGTTTCAGATGATTCAGGACTGGTAATCGAATTTTCAGACAAGTGAGTAAGCCTCATTTACATCCCCGCATTGGGACAGGCCTGACCTTCCTTGAAATTCGCATCTGCCATTTGACACAATGGTACTCACGACCCTAACTTAGTGGTTAACGTATTGAGATTATACGTAATACGACCCAGGTTCGAGTCTACCTGGAGATGCTTATGATACCAAGGTGAGGTCGAAACTACAATTTATCCCTTTGGGGAGCTAGGCCATATGAAATTCAATGAGAACAATGATTGTGGAAAAATTTAACTACCAGCCCTTCCTCATCTAAATGAAGACAAATATATATTATGTGTAATTTTATTTACATTTCAATCTAGTGCGTTAACCATAAAAAGTAACCAAATCTTTTTTGTGATCCGACCAGATTTCAAAGTAGTCGTCCGAACAACGCAGGATCAATCTTATCAATGCCGACGACATGTCACATTCTTTCTCTAACTAGTTCGTCTTCACAGCAGTAGGATAACTAGACCAAATATATATTCGTAGATGCGATCGTTGTGTGCGATAGGTCGCCCTCATCGCCAGGTTAATTGATCGTTACAAACACCTTTCCAAGATCTACCAAAGCACCATCAGTGCCTTATCCCCTGAATATATTGACTTTATATCCAAATTAATTAAGTATCCTGTTTCTTCAAGTCCCGTTTCCTTGATCCTTGTAGGCTAAATAACCGTGCTGATGGCGCCTCACACAGATGACACTGGCGATACGTCCAGGGATACACCAGTGGGTACAAAACAGGAAAGCATGAATAATAAAACAGATGACGCAGGACTAGGTAGGCTCCACAAGGCCTCCCTGTCACTTTGGTCTTCATATGATATTATGGCAAAGGACTAGATACGCTGTAAACGAGTTAAATCAAGACTATTTAATTTTTTACCTTCTTACTAAGTATAGGATCGCAAAATAATGGAAATCCATCCTTTTCATTTTGATAGTGAATCCAGTTTCTATTCCATTCACAAAGTTAAGGAGATTACTCACTCTGCCTTATTGGTATAAAGTGAATAAGTCATCCATCTATCTAAGCGAGTTTATGCGCTACAAGTGCCTTATGGATTGGGTGGCTACAGTTTAACAGTGTAATTGTTTGCTAAAATTGGGGATAGACACGAATGCACGACTGATTACGGCGTTTTCGTACATAATCTGCCAGCTAAAGTCAAATACCAACAGCTCACCATTAAACCCGTCAGTATCGCGATTGGCTCCTAAGTTGTAATTCATTAAAATACAATGCTAATCCTAGAGCGTCGCTGCGCTTGCTAATTTGCTAGCGCAAATGTACGCTACATAAGAACTTAAAACGAATCCCCGTTTTCTATTATCCAATAATTTCGCAGTGGAAAAGTGTCGGCATGATTCACAATGCTTCTGGGTAGCACTGACGAGACCTAGACGGTCGAAGCTTGGGACGATAAAACTTCTTTGGAAACAAGGCTCACGCATATCATCAAAAAAACAATCAGCGACTAGGGATGAATAAGTTCTCAATTAAGAATTACTAATACTTTCTAAATATACTCATGCGGAACCTAAGACACTTGATAGGGATAATTGTATACAGGCCATGACGCTAATTAAAGCCTAACGAACCAACAATCTGATCAAGATAAATCCAAAGCAAGGCATATCAAGCTTCATTTCACACCTTCACATAGCAAGAATGGCTGAGGAGATATTAACCATAGAATACTATCAGGAAAATGTCTGCTACTGCCTCAGCCCAACGTATAAGTGGAAAACGCCAAGTCACATTGCAATATTTTTAATCTGTTTAAAATCAATAAATTAAAGAAACTCATGAAAATCTAAAATACAGAATTCGTTGAGTAACTTCCCCTCAGAACCAGATGTAGATTAAATTAGGGCCAAGTAATTTAAAATCCTATTTTCATTTTACAGGCAAACAGAAAGCAAAAACTTGCGAAACTTATTTCATTGTGACAGTAAAATGAAGTAAAGAAAGAAAATCTTCACATCTACGTATCTCCAGAACTGAAAAAAAGTTGACAAGGGAAGAAACGAGGCAAGTCTATATAGGCGTCTCGAAGCGAAGCAAGGCAAGAAAGCTCTTAAATAGTAACTCAAATCACCACCAGGTGCAGAATAAGAGCCTAAGAAAGAGACGAGTGGCGGACATTTAAATGTGTACACAAATGTAAGGCGATAAACAGAGTTAAATCAGTGCTTTGGATAAGGCCTCTAGTTTTTTTGGTCTCCTGGTATCAAGGCTCAACGGGGCTGGGGCACGGAAACAGCTGAAGTAGGGTGCGAGGCTGCAGAAGTCGCCGGGTGCTTCTCGGGCGGAAAATTCTCTCTTGCTTGGTTCCCGGTTGCGGGAGGCACCTGTTGAAACCTACAGTCGGGGGCATAAGCTATAGGAGTCATTCCTGTGTTTGCCGAGGAACCAGATGCCGTGGCAGTGGATGCTGCAACAACAGTGGCTTGTGGCTTGATGAAGAAATCGATCATTTTTAGGGCATAGCGCAACCTCTTCTCGACAATGGGAATCATGCCGTTTTTGCGCAGCAGTTTAAAGCGATATGTTTTGAAGTCACGGCCAGCATCAATGTAGGTAACGGCACGCATAAGCGGACAAAGCACTATTTTTGCATGGTCCTTGAGGAAATTAACCTATAGGATTAAAATGAAATATCTGAAGCAGCTGAATGATTTTATACGAAGATAACAATAGAAATTACTAAATTTTGTATTCACTAGCTGACTATAAGCGATAACATACGGGACAAAATAGGTCACCAAAGAAAAAAAGGCCAATAAAAGGAAAGAAATTATCTTATCAAATTAAGAAAATCCATAAAGTGCCATCAATTAAATTACAAGTCTATACTAATAGAAAAGGTAACCATACCCAAATGATGTGATCAAGGGTGCAAGAGATGTAGTTGAACAATGCGTGCTATGCAAAACTGGTTCCCACAGAGTGGATACATAGAAATACTTTGCGCCGCGCCCCGTACACTCATTAAGCCATGTATGATGTATTCAAAAGGTACTAAGTGCCAACTCTAAACTGTTATGAATATGAATTTCAAGTTTACATGATTCATGAGTGAAAAAAAGAAGAGGCCAATCTTTACACCAGCGGTTTTAAATCAAATAGGATACAGGGCTCTAGAGGACGAGAGAGAATTGTGAGGAAAGAAAGAGGATTCGAAGATTAGGGAGAAAGATAGGTATGAGAAACACCTGTCCTTAATTCCTCAAACATGACGTAAACGGGGGCCTAAATCCAATATCAATAAGCAGCCGAATACAATGATGTACATGGGTGGCATGGAACAACTTACAAGACGGGTGGAAGGAACCCAAGTGAAAGTCAAAAGCTCTGCGAAAACACATAATTGTATGAATAGACAAATGGGCCATATGAAGCTGGGGTGAGAAAAAAAGGATACCGCATCAGAAGCTAAGACAAAGAGGTGGAAGAATGATGCCACAATGGTTGTGTAGAAAATTGGTCAAGGGAATAGTCTTCCCTTGATTCTCTAATAAGATGTAAATCTATGCTAAAGATGACGCCTCTGACTGAAGATACCGGCAAAACATCTGGGAATGTACCCAATCAAAGGTCTAATGTTGGAAAGTATCGTGAATAATGATGCAGACGCAGAAATGGGTACATTCAACCAGTACTCGCTCCAATCAAATGATAAAAGAGTTCAAACCGACAGAATATAAACATCTGTTACCCCTACATGTCAAAGGATAATTTAAAACAATTACATCTTTAAGTCAACTAAGCAACGTCATGGTAAAGTAGTGAACAAGAGGTTTAAAGTGAACGTATTATTTGTGAAAATTAAAGTAGCTGAATTACTTTGCATAACATTTTGAGTGCAAAACCCGACGAAAGTCTTAAAATACGTAGTGCATAGTCTAATAGCTCTTTAATACACAAAAATCAGGATTTCTGGTAGTTTTGAAACTAGTTATAAACGAAAATTTAAATGTTTGTTTGAAAATCAGACAGTACTTGGATCACGATATCTTGCTACGAATAGGTACATAACTTTTATTTTCAAATGTTGGCAAGACATTCAACCTTCATCTCTCCTAACATGCAGCATAAAAGATAGTGTGATTGGGATGAGCATAAATTATTAGCAGGGCATAAAATTATGGTGATCAGTGTTTAAAAGATGGCCAGTAGTTCGACCAGCATAAGTAGCATAAGATTAATTATGAAAGCAGCTTAAATAGGAGCTTACTATATAAAATATATAATAGAGAATAGAATTGAATCTGGGGCACAGCAATCCTCAAAGTTTTGTGGGTCCAAAACCATAACTGGCCGAATACAGGATATATGTGTATATAAATAATAATAAACACAATAAAAAGGGGTGTAGGAAATCAAGTTGAACCTAATTGTGGCAGTTACGTAGAATTGGGGTGAGGAAGTGAAATGAAAATATCGCCTACCAAGAGAAGACATTTGTTTAGAATCGAATCTAATCAGGATTTCGACACTTAGCATAACCCATTAGCATTGATCGCATAGAATACTCGTGCAAATGAACACAATTACATGCGTCCACATCTCAGAAATAAAAATACAAGTGAATTAGATAAAATGCAGCTATTTGGTCACAATCGCCTATCCGCAAGTCTATAGAGGAAGCATGATATAAGCAACCAAATAGTGAGATGTCTAATTAAGTTGATGGTCAGGTAG